TCCAAGGTGGCTGCGACTTAAGAGATGGACGTCCAGGTGTGTCATCCTGTCCACATTCGTGTCCGAGTAAGCCAGATGTGGAACGCCTCTGGGCGTTTCCAGCCCAAATTTGTAATCAATACGGACACTGTCCAGGATGGATGAGCAGTTTCTCAGCAGTGGTCCCTCGCAAGCTTTGTGGGGTAGGAGTTTTGCTTCATGGATGTGGAAGATGCGAACTATGCGGCCTAAAGGGATTCTTGACCTTCGGGCTTGAGATGCAACTCGCCCGGTGAATGTCAAGTCACTAGAATATTTCGGACCGAAGTCGACAACACTCTAAAGGCTAGGCTGCTTCTCAGACAGAGGACTTAGTTGCACGGTAACAGGCGGTGCACTGAAACATATCCAGCCACACTTGTCTATATTGGATCAGAGCAATCATATGGGAACCACTTGGTTACCTGATCTAGTTCCTTCTGTGCTGTCTGGAGGTAGCCTTAGTCACCAGCAGGGAGTGTTTAGACTACCTTAAGGTCACCGACAGGCGGAAACGGCCTACCACATGTCAAGTAGTCACAGATATTATTGACGAAGGCGGCGAAAAGCAGAAGACCCAGCACAGCACCCTGGATGACACCAGATGTGGTGGCTCTAGGCTTTGAAAGATGAGGCTTAATTCTCACCGCTTGTGAACGGTTGCCGAAGAGTGATCTGATCCAACTCAGCAGGGGATGTTCTATTTTGTGACCCCTAAATTTTGGCAGTAGTCGAGAACGGTCAACGTAATCAAGACCTCTGGAGATTTCAAAATAGAGGAACAGGGTTAATAAGAGTTGGTCACGCCCGGTGGTTATGCAGTTAAAGAAGTCGAAGTGGCAAGTCACGCACAAACGTGATTTCAAGAGCGCGTGCTCACCAGAGGTGATAACACTGCTGTCAGGCATATATTGTCGAAGTTTTATTTTACCCATGTTTGCCATAATTCCAGAAGCAACTGCAGAAATATTAATTGGTCGGTTAATATTCACTTCACTCTCTCCACCAAACTCAACTTTGGGAACATTCACGATACATTCCACAAGTTGGGCTATCAAGGGGTATATAAAGAAGTGGGGAAACACTCAAGCGACCAGGACGATACATCAGGGTTACCTATTTTGAAAAAGTATGATGATAGGCAGTTTCGAGGCCACATATTTGAATGAAACATCGTCATTGGTATAAAGACTCTTAACCTGCCATTTTAACACCACTTCTAAAGCATAACTAGTGGTTTAGTTTCTGATCCTGTTGTGGCGTGATTCACTGATAGGTTAATCCTTACTCTTACCATGTCAATGTCTCAAATTGCAGACAAGGTCATACTTCATGTGTATACGTATCCACGTGTTTTTGAATTAATTAACTGATGTACTCGGAGGAATAAAGTCTCCCATCCAGCTTCAGTCTTCTTTTCTATTCGTCCCCGGCTGCAGTCGGTGGCTCTTGTGTACGAGGTTGGCTGCTAGTTAAGCGTGTGTGTTATATTCATTCGGAATATATAACACATCCCCTCTGTGTTTGAGCCACTGGAGCTTTCAAGTGCCGTAGTAGGCTATCATATTATCTCATGTTATCACATGAGAACTCAGTGGTGAGAATTCGTTCTAGTGAGTGGAATGAGGGCTGGTCGACGCTATGGAGGAACTAGCTAGCCCAGTAGTTTGAGCTTGTTTTGCACGCATTTCTCGGTAGTGAGCAACGGCGTTGGGAGCACTGAGGACGGACTGTAGCGCATCAAAGTCAGGTGCTTAAGTATCTTGTCGACAGCCGACGCAGCTTTCGGCGCGTTTTCTGAGGGATGAAAGGATTATTTGGAGTGGGGGTGGTTGATTTCGCCAAGGGGGCAGTCACACCAAAAAAGTTATATAAATGAGAGAGAAGTATACTTGTTGCTAGCTGGGGATAAGCTGTGGTGAAGTAGTCCCCCCGATTACGGTATCTGATTGGTGGAAACACAAACTCCCAGTCAGTTTTGGGGTAGTTTCCGCACTTCATATGAGGGGGAGTGATTGTATTACTTGGTACGCCAGTTGAGGAAAGAAGCAAAAACCCACACATTATCGCTTTGTGATCGCTTTCTGACTAATTTTCATTACTGTCGTGCGCACCTTCATCTTCCTCCACCTAAGCTTACCTCTAAACAGTTGTTTCTGGATACTTCTTCAAGTAGGTTTTGCAGTCAGTACAAAGAACTCACCCAGGTGTATCATGGTTGATCCACTCCTGCGTATTTTCGTGCTCCTGTTTCAAATTTCGCCTGCTGCTCGCTTTTGTTATTCACCTTTCAGGCTTACCTAACCAGTCCTGCATTCAAATGGAATCCTGGAAATCGCATTTGTCAGTGTGCACCTTGCCATCAAAACCTTATGATGAACGCACACACCCCAAGGTCATGACTGTGGTGCGGCCCCGCCTTCAAGAATATTGGAAGATTCAAACAATGACCGAGTAATCCCTAATCTCGAACTGAGCCCACCTCAACACACCTCTTGTATGCCATGAATAACGGTATTTAATGTACAGCTTAACATTGTACATAGTAGTCATTTCCCATTACCAAAATAATCAAACCCGTAGACTAGTTTGTGTTCATGTGACCTGTTGTATGAAGTATGCATATCATTACTATTATAAAAGACTGCCAAGTCAAGTGCACTGCCACCCCCTGTCGGGGCGGTGATGGTCCGTTTCTGTCCGAATATGTCTGGCTTGCGGAGAAGGCTGCAATATGTACCGGGTCCTGTGTGTTTTCCCCACTGAATTCCTGGTAAGTTGAAGTCCCCACAAATAATTTTGTGTTCGCGCGGGAGGGGATATGCATATCGTGGAGTATAGTCCAGCCTGGGTACTTCTGCAGAGCAGACTCCGGGTGGTCCGTGTGTGCAACCTACCAGCACCGTAGTCCCATAGGGACTCTTCATTTTTCGAGCACTGTATTTTCTAGAAGGAATACGGAAGGAGTGTTTCGGAAGTACATTGGGCATCCGCCTCCTCTTTTAATGTCCCGTTCACATCGAAGGTGTGTGTTCACGTCGATACTCATTTCCCTATCTGGTATAGTGGATGACACCATGACTCCACGACCACCATGACACGTGGTTTGGACGGGAGCGATATTGTTCTTAGTATTGATAATTTGCTGATAGCAGACCTGGCACAGTTAAGGATGAAATACAGGCATGAATAATTTGAGAAAGATCTACTGGCATAATGCCACCTGGGTTGCCATTATTTACAGCTTCTGTGCTTGGGGTGGAGGACAGTTTTAGAAGGGAAGAGATGGGGTCGAGTGAGCCACCTGAGTATTGGCAACAAACGCTGTTCATGGCCGACTACGCAGCTCCTCCGACTCCTGACAACCACTCACCTAGAAACGAAGCTAACCGAACGTGACCTCATATGAAGAGCCGATCCTGATGTCTTATTGAGAGGTTTAATCACGAAATCTTACACCTTCTCCCCTGTTGTATGACAACGGTAGACGGATAGAATTGCATCTCCAGCATAATCTATTCAAACGAACTTGTTTACAACGTCATGGACCCTAACGATCGCCACACGCTGCATGACACCACAGAATACTGGTCTCAAATTTCCCCTGTCCATCCCAGTACTCAACTGTAGTTTCGCATGCCATCTGTGGACAGCACAAACTTGTTAACTACTCACGTAACCCCAGCCTCATTTACGCTCAACGCTCGACATAAAATGTACCCCTACTGATTATGTGAATCAATACTACCAGGACACTGTTCATAGTGAGTGATTATACCCGTAACAATTTTTATCGCTGTTGTGCAACGAAGTGGCTCTTACCCGATATTTGTGACTACCGATATCCAGACAGTTACACACTCCAGAAGACTACTTATAGCGTGATGATTTACTCCCCCCAGACTTTCTCAGCTTAAGTGAGAAAAATAATATTCAGCTACTGCCCGTTAAAATGGCATGTGTTCGTATAATCCATCATTCGAAATTGATTGTTATTTATTCTATGAGATTTCAACCTACCGAGGGTTAACTTTGCAGACCATGTTTTCAAGAGAGTTACGATTTCATCAAAGCCCGATTTTTCGACCCGATTTGGGAACTGAGAATCACGGGAAAGGCGAGATCAGTGGCTCTGCAGGGGACTCTTTGTGCTACTCCTGTTTGACTCGTTTCTAACCCGTATTCAGGCAACGAAGAAGGACGGTTTGATACGAGAGGTGTTATTTCTGATTCAGCGTGTCGGCTTCGTATCATTTTCTTTGAAGAAATGGTTTCATTCTTGCACAATCTGCAAGTGTTTGCACCCTTCTCTTATTGATTTAATTTGCGTAGCTTTCTGCAGGGTTTCACTTGTCTTTGTTTTTACTCAGACACATTTATCTGCCTAAATTATCTTTTATGTAATCTCAGCTCTCTTTCACGACCAGTCCAAGCAACTTTTGGGCAACCGTACGTCTGAAGAAATCAACTGCACCACAGTCGCGGGCATACTGACCGGCACTTAAATTTCTCTTCTGTATACCACAGCTGTAGAAGACGAGTGATTGAATCTGATGCATCAGGATTCGTCAGAAACCTGGAACCGTTTCGAGAGACCCAGGAGCGAACACGAAGAAACTACTTGGTTTACACAAGATCGTTAAACATAGAGTGGATATTGTAACTACTGTGTACCAGAGCTACATCAAGGAGAGAGGCAGGATCTACTTCTCGGAAATCTACCAAAGATGTGGAACCTTTGTGCAATAATTGGAAGTGAGAGTGGAAATTCAATTAGCTAGTGTCATGTAACCTAGTTAAACATATTGGACGACGGACCTTCGCTATTGAAACTGTACGTCCCGCTGTGGGGATTTGTAATTATGCGGAACATTGTTACTATCACATGAGTCGCCTCCCTCGGCGCTTCTGCACTTGTTTCGCAACCCGCTTTATGGTTTCCTAGCATTAGCTACAAAAGTTACCCCAAAATCATATATTTGATGCCGATGGTCGGCGAAATGGAGGAGGAAAAGTGGTCTCCTGAAGCTGGACACCAGAAGATTATTGAGTTAGACGATACATTAGTGGTAAGTCTCAATTTTCCCCCATACATTGGCGTGAAGGAAATTACAGGATACTCTTTGTCGCGCCCACGGACTGTTATTGTCTACATTGGTATCGTCTTAACATGTGGACTTTTACGGTTAGTCTTCCACTGGTTTCCTCATTGGATGCTGATGTGTATGAATAAGAAATGCTCTTTGCTTCAAGCCCAAAAGATTCTCGTTAAGGTAAACGATAGTCAAAATTTACCTGTGCACCATAAAATGCCATTTTTGACCCTAGTGACCTTGGTTGATAAATGTTTTATCTCTTGTAGGATGCTTATGGCGTTTACTATATACATGATGTACTTGTTGACACTACTGACGGAATCAGGTGAGACTTATTCACGCCTAATAATTAGTTCAGCCATAATGTCAGGAATTTCTGCATGCTGAAGTCTGGGTCGGTATTGAGATCACAAATGGCGTGTAGAAGAAACGTAGGTCAACTTCTTCTATCACGTTACTTTATTTAGGATGATCAAATGATTTGTTACTTCATGCACAAGTGTCTAAAATACATATGGGACAACAAAACTAACCGTTTCGAGCTTCTTAGGTAAGATTCCTTCAACATTTAATTGATGCATGCTTTGGTAATGTGGTCATCACACCACATTTAGTTTTGCATGATTTCTCGTTAATACTAGTTGTGTGCAGTTTTGTATCTCATGTAATTGGCTGTGCTCCCGCCTCATCAACTCCACTTAACTTAACCAACTTGTTTCCAAATATCATCCTATATGTATGCGGGGTAGTTTGGGATGAATAGAAGCCTTGTACATTTTGATGCTTTAGGTAATGGGCCACATGTATTGTGTGAGGATCAGTGATACTGCTTGGTTGCTTAAGTCTTAGTATAAAGTGACAATTTGGGAAGCGCAATGCTGTTGATAAACTTCTTATCCCCTAGCATATTTATGAAATGAACTGGTTTTCGATTTTTTAAAAGAACATCTCAAGAATTACATGCACCTTCAAAACTAATAAAGTTGCTTTAGAATTGTATACCGCAGTCTTAAAAATATGAGTTTCGCATTAGAAGAGGTGCTCTTTTTCGCAGTACACAGGCACTTGAGGACCTCTTGTCAGCTTTTTGATGGTATGTTTTCTACTTGCAAGTTCTCGTGGTCTCGTGAGAACTATTCATCGCGTGCGTATTTGCTTATGCATCTATTCGGTTCATAATATGTTATTCAGTAGGGTCTTAAACCACATGGTTTCTATGCAGGATAGACTTACTTGATAATAGGATTTATTCATAAGTGGTGACCGAAATGCTGCAACAGTAATCCCAATAGATAACTGAAAATTGACAAGTGTTCCGAGTTTTTAGTTTTTGCGAAAGTAACACAAAAAGGTTGCTGTCGCTGAATGAATTACTGGCGTCTACAAAATGAACCTTACTGAGTTCAGTCAACATTAGTATGGGGACTGGCATTACCGCATCACGTTGCAAGTCACCACACCTCACACCAAATATCGGTATATAGGGCGACGAAAGCAAAGTTATAAAAATAGAATAAGACTCACAAGTAGTAGATAGCTGTAACATGAATAAAGAGAGGTTGAAGCAAATGATCAAATGTAATTGAACAATTAAAGTCATGGAATGACTTGGATTTGGTTTTTCATGAGTCCTGACCAGGAAGTCTACTTTTTCTGATTCAGATCGAACTGACAGAAACTCCGGCTGATGCCATGCTTTATTTCGACCATTCGCTCTTCTTTCCACGTAGCCCTACTTCAGCTAACATAGTGTGTTGATACAGACGGTAACTGCTCATGCAAAGCGCATGAGTCTAACACTACAGACGAGAAAGGTTCACAACCATCTCACTCCTATTGCCGATGTTACACCTAACTTCTACATTGCTAGACTTGCAGTTTTACCACTCACGGGTGATGGTGTTATTGTGACTGAGGGCTGGTGTTCAAGGGCCGCAAATGTTTTACTTTCAGTGGATATTTCTAACAGACATAGAGCAGGAGGAGGGACTGTGCATTGCTGTCTGCCCTTAGTAGCTCTATAAAAGTCTATTCTCTCTTTTGTGTTTATGTTGAGATTCTGTTGCCCACCTCTCCACCACAACTTATCCTACTTTCCATGGTGGTAGAGTAGTCAGTGTGCACAATATTTTTCACTTCATATTATCTCAACACCTTTTACATCAAAACACTCACCATTGTCGATTCATGGAGATATGGGATTCGTAAGTCGCTATTCAAGTGCACGAGTTTAGTGCAACCTATCTACTTGTGCATATACATCACAGGCTACGGTGGACACATCTGACTCTTTAGCTTTCATTAAAAGGCTAAATGTTTTCAGCGGAGTCAGTCTTTCACTTCATCGTGGCTGCAGACAGTACGTGTCTCAGCAAAAATAGCAGCGTATTTCACTATTCTTCTTAATCCTTATTTTACACTTCAGTTGAATAGTGCATGAATAAATGTCAACCCAGAACTATTAGAGCAATAGACTTTCTGCTAGGCTGACACATGCATGACCACAAGAACTACTCTGAGAGTTGAATAGTGTGGCTTGTAATTGGATGTGATGAAAAGTGCTGATGTAGAAAGCTTCGGTGAACTTTTGAAGAGCGAATTTCAGAAACCAAGTGTGCCTTTTCATGAATTTGAAGCATTATTGTTGTCTGCAGAGTTGGAGGATGTTGAAAGTGGTGTAGAATTATTGACTGCGAAATGTGAAAAAAACATGGGAGATAATGAATTAAAAAGTTGAATAAGTAGGTGAATAAGAAGGAATTGAGTGGTAGCAAAGTTATGAAGGTAGTTGATACTTACTAAGTCCCCAAATCGCCTCAGTTCATTTCTTACTGAGGTACTTGAGAGGAAAGTTGATTAGTGAGAGCAGTTCTATTGGCCTGAGGGCATGACTGCATCGCTAACGGAACATCTAGTTGAGGAAGGTCAAGCGTAACCGTTTTAGGGGTGTGATTTAAACTTAATTGTTGCTTCCGTATTAGGTCTAAATGCCTTATCATTATATTAAGAAATAACTGTACCTGTTTTCCTATCAAATTCTATCTATTAACTCATTTTAGGCCAAGCGCTTCCCTTACATGTTAATTATTGCGATAGTCAGCGAGTAACCATTGTTCCTAGCCTAGTTTCGATGGTTAAAGTAACTCAAAAGTTATTATGGAAATCGAGAGCAAAGGCTAGTCTGGAGAGCGACCAATCAAAATACACTTCGCGTGATCACGTCTATAGTTAGACAGAGAGACGGTGGATCAGCCAATCAATATTGTTATGTTAAACAGAGAACTATCTATATATTAGATATATTTTCCTTTGTTTTAGGCCTTCGGTCTTTTGACCCCAATACACATTTCTACACATCCATAATGTCTTCTCCATTATGTAGTCGGGTTAGGAATAAACTAGGAATTTGTTAAACGTTGGTGGCTGACACTGAATATCTGTCCAGCGTTAGCGGCCATAGCAAATAGCAGTTTCCAAATCATAACAGTTATAGATCAAACAAGCGTTTGTCTAAACCTTGGAGACATTATCAAAGGAAGCCGTATAACTTTATAACAAACATTTTACTTCGAAAGCTTAATAACAGTGAAAATTACCTTGTTAATCGTTTTATGACTGTACAATTAATCACTCAACTATTTTGATACGAATGCTTTTGTAATTTTTCTCTAGGGGTTGGCATGACACTACATATGGAGAGATTTTACATTCTAAACCTTTAACTAATGAGGAGATAACTGCACGTCGTGCATTGTATGGAATAAATGAAATAAACATTAGTCTAACTCCTGTTGTCAGATTGCTACTTGAGGAGGTAAGTAGACTAAATCTCAGTTTTAAGGTGTTCGTTTCAGTAATTTATTTATGAGTTGTGTGGAATAATTTTACTTTTAAAAAGAATGCAATGAGTTCCTTAATTATATTCCTATTTCACCTTTCTCACTTAAATTTAGTGTTTGAACCCGTTCTATTGCTTTCAAATATTTAGTTGCATCTTATGGTATTCAGATGAATACTGGATGTATGCTACCTGTATCGTGGTAATATCCGTCATGTCACTATCATGGGAAGTCTATGAGCTGCGTAATGTGAGTTGTGGCGTACTTCATTTTCATAATTTTAATGATTAAAGGTGTTCAACGGTGTATACACTATTTTGTTTACTCGTGTCACATGCCCTCCTCTGTATCTACTTGCTTTAGGTGATCAGGTGAATGGGTATTATTGGTAACCTTCAGACTACTTGTATAGCTGGTGGTCCGACTTGTAGTTTGTGTAAGGAATTCACCTGATTCGTCCTACTAGTTACCTTGGTTGTATTAATTCTCAGGTTTGCGAAGTACGTTTTGCTTTTTCATTTGACATCTGTAAATAGTGCAACACGCCGACTGAATGTTCGAAATTCAGAATTTTTGTTTCGTAATATGTTTCAGTTTATATATATATATAGTCTATCAACCAAAGAAGATGGGAAGAGCTGGATGCTGCATTGAGTTGGTTAAATGATATAAGATAATCTGGAAATGCTGGATGTTTTTGTCTTTTCTGAAACTGATCAGTAACACATTTATGAGGATATGGACTGCATACATTCGAAACTCATTGGTTTCAATTGTAACTTGGTGTCTGGCAGAGAAGAGTGCTTTCAAGCTCACCAAAACTTGAAAATCGATCATCTTTTGAATTCTACGTTATTTCACTTTACTGGCTACGTGAGCTTGTATTTACCAAGTAGTGTGGTTTGTCCCAGAAAGAGATAATATGACATCGTACAGAGCGCTACTTTCTGTCCATTTAAACGTAAACATATCAGTAGTGAAGAACGTTGGGTCGTGTATTGTGATTTATTCATTATAGTCATTCGAACTGAGCAATTACCCATGCTATATAGGCATTTTCTGCCACCGAAAACGACTCTTACTAAATTTTGGGTCACTGAAAAAATAACGTATAACCCAGCTCAAGTTGTTTTCCTCAGTACTGCCACCAAAATAAGGTTGGTTTATTGGAAATAGTGAGTACAAGCCTTTGCAAAATGTTTACGTTATTTCTCAGGTCTGTCTGAAATATTTTAAGTCAGTTTCAGCGTAGGCTAGTTGCATCTCGTGGACGAGGATTTTTGACAATAGGTTTGACTCTGTTTACCATTATTTTGGGTATATTTAGTGACTACGAGAATGTGGGACCCTTTTGTTACGAAGTTTTCCCAAGTTTCTCAAATAGTAATGTAACAGACCCAGATTTTTTCCAAAAAAAGCTTGGATTGTTGAGTAAACGAAATAAGTGAAACCACTAGATGTGATTTCAAACATCTCTTATTCCTTACGTTTCCCCTTGACCATCAGTGATTATTTAACGCGTCTTTTTTTAGAACGAGCGAACTCTCAAAGAAACTATGTGTATATCTTCTTCTGTAATTGTTTGTCGAGAAGAAAGTGGTGTTTCAGGTATGTAAATATCCCATATTATCGACATACTGTGTGTGTAACGATGACTGGTTCACATAATTATGATCAGATGTAGTCATTGGGCTATCGTCTTACTTGTTTCCCCAGCGATATCGACGATTGTGCTGCAGTACAAGCAATTTTGTGTCATGTTTTGAAGTAAATGATTTTGTCCTCTGATGTTATCTCTGAGATTTTGAGCTATTTCACAGTCCACAGCTTAGGGACTAGAGATACTGATTTGAATGCAAAATAAGTTGTTGCGACATGATTAATCCTGTGAATGAGGAAATATTTTTGGCTTAAATTTGCTTCCTGGGGAAAGTGAGTGTGGGGGTTGGGGGTATGTGTTTGGTACAAATACACTGTAGGTACACTAAATGAAAGTTATCATCTTATTCTCACAGTTCAATATCGATATAACATAAGTTATTTACTTAAGGGCAAGTCTTCTGGTTGGATCAATCGAATAATTTCAATGTTTGAGTAGTGTATTTAGGGAGTGGAGTGTGTCAAGTTGTCATACTTCACAAAATGGAAGTCTAAGAAAGCAGAAATATGTTTAAGTGGACAGGATAGTTATGAAAACCTTTCAAATGTTGAATACAGACAACTACATTTGAATTGTGGCGAATGATTTCGAGTCATTGAACCGAAAGTCGTTGCCTGTTTTCTCCTAGCACATGGATGGCCCTGGCTACACGGTGTACATTTACCAATCCAACTCACACCTGGGGTCTGTAACTGCCTTCATTATCACGCTGTCATCATCTTGCCAACCTTATATTTGTTGCAGCTTAATTATTTTGCAGATAACATTAAGCGTTGAGGTAGTCGATGGTTATGTAAGCGTAAAACTTGTCCTGACCGCTTCAGTTAGGATATAGGAGTAAAAGTTAGGGACTGTGGTAGATTGTAGTTCCATTTCAGTCTGTTTATTAGAAATGTCACAATGAAAGAGTATCATTTACTGGATAACGTTTCCGACGTAATTTATTGTCCATATTCATATTATGTGATGACTGTGGACAACAAATTATGTCCGAAACGTTGTCCACTAAAAGATACTGTTTTACTGTGTGACATTTCTAATAAACAGACTAAAATGGGATTCAGTTAGGAGAGTTATATCACATAGTAAGACAATACTATTTTTAGTAAATGGGATTTTGAGCTTAATTTATTGCCCATATTCATGTTAAGGTAGTTTTATATTTCTGCACGCTTTTCCACAGTAAATTTCTACAGTTAAACGACAATTTTGAACGGTCATATCTAGATTATTTTAATCTGTTTTGACCTGCATTATCCTAAGTTTGTTGCACAGGTGGTTTGATTTAGTTGTAGTTTTTATTAAGTGAATAATTGTCATACTATATCATTTCAAACATGAACTAATTGAGAGAATAATTGTTCTCACTGACTTCCTACTCATACTCTATAACTATGAGTCCATGAATGTTGTTTTTATGGTAGCCAGTGTAACACATGAGTGAGATTGTGGTTGAAACAGCCAGTATTCTGATAAGATATCGACAAAATTTCAATCAGCATTATCTAGGTTGATTCTGTGCATAACCAGTCGTCAGGTCAAGTAGCTAACCGGAATTTCGGTGGTCTGGTTGGTGGTCAATCCAGGCACGCCTCTGACAAGCTCAACCTCAAAATGGCGAAACGTTCGTTCATTGTTGATATCAATTTGACCCAGGTAGGGAGCACTGCTGGTCGAAATTATTGGTCTGCAACTACTCGCATGTCAGTCAGCAGTATATTTCATACAACTTTCAAGAATTACACTGTTTCGAGATTTAATTATTGTTTCTCAAGGTTATACTGGTTTGTGTTCACGCATGCACTAGGAGTATGATTTATGTTGTTAAATGCATAATAGAAGTTGGGCTTATGTACACGTTGGTGAGACCTCCATCGATTACTTATATTCAATGCATTGTGGTCCTACTGACGTATTTGAAAAGCAATTATACGATTTCGTTGCATTAAATATCCTTTCTATGGTTGTTTTGATCCACCGTGTCACCATATCACCAGACAGGTCGCCTAGGAAATTCAGTCACACATGCAAAGTTTTCTTGCTGCATGGGATTTTTCGTTACTGTATCTGGTTGTGTACTTCTCTATGAAATCCCCAGAGTTATCATTTTCCAAAGATATTCTCTCCTGTTTGTCGATTTTTTCGTCCACTTTGTTCATCTTATTCTCAGATTAAGATATGGAACAAAGATTGTTTCCAAGCACTTGTCTTCAAGGCGAATATCTAGAAATGATGTGCTGTTCTCATTGTTCTCCATGACAAGTGCATCTACTAACTGGATATATGTTTGCACAGTGCAATAATAAAGAGATGTAGAGAATAAAATGAACTCATTTTATTTCACGGCTTTTGATCAGCTGTAAGCAGCCTACAAGTGAAACGAAGTATCAGTAGTGATAATGACATAATATACTGTAAATATGTAGAAATAGATGAAGATTTGAAATGCAGGATTATCAATAAGGTAGTGAGTCAAGTAAACACAAATCTTAGTCGAAATCAATGGGAGTCTGTATCTGGTGAGGTAGAAACTTCTGGAACTCTGTAAAGGGGTAGAGTTGGAGGTAGAAAAACAGACAGAAGTGTAAGACTTTTAAAAACTAATCTGTGCTAACTTCTCTATTGCTGACGACAAACATGTCGTCTGCATAGTCTCAATGATGCTCAAACCTCTTCAATGTATGTAATAATGAGTAGTTTCACGTGGTTGTTATCGACTATCTCTACAGACGGAACGTTGGTAAACAGTGAAGTGATATCTAAAGGTGACGTGGTTTCATCTGTTAAGTGCGTATTCTTAACCTTTTTGATAAATATCATTACTTATTTTGGACTGAAACTGTGGTCATTGAAGCGATAGCAGTGATTCTGTGCTAATCCGAACCATATGGGGAATTCTGCTACTATTAGGGTCAAAGTATGCGAAACAGGAGGACACCCATCTACAGAAGGTTGACCATGAATTTTGCTTATCATCTTGGTTTTAATTATGAGCGATGAATTATGTTTGGAATGTCATCCAGTAAATCATGCTGCATCATTCACTGTGTGGTCTATCAAATAGGGGAACCCAATATGAAATTTCATTTATACCTTACAGTATTCATGGATTGATAACCTTAAGACTTAGGGAGAAAGTTTCAAATATTTAGTGGGGGTGTTTAAGGTATTAACCAGTTTTGTCAACGATTTATAGCATGGATTTAGTTTGTATTGGGGCATTGCCATTTATTTTTTCTGCTTAACCGTTTGGAAGGTGACTACTCACATGAGAATATTTTCTGCAAAATAGATTTCAAGGAAGTGGACTCTTCATCTTTAGTTCCTGGTGATGTGATTGAAATTCCGCGTAATGGATGCCTGGTTCATTGTGATGCCATTTTACTGACTGGAAACTGTATAGTGAATGAAAGCACACTGACCGGTAGGTTGCTTTGGTGATATTTCTCATAAGTGTTTGTTTGTTGACTCATATGCAAAAGTATGGAATACAGCTTTGGGATGTCCATCATTCCACTAATCTTATGAATTTCTCTTGGGGCTTTATGTGAATACTTTTCTTTCGCTTCATTGATTGACTGTTAATTATTGTAGGCTTTTTCACTCCTGTTTCTAATCTTTCCCCAAAGTTTACTGCTGAGAATAGAGCGTATGACAAATGGCCTTCAGTAGCATATGTGGTGGATATCCAGTTAATAGATATGAATGGCTATTAGACCGTGTTACTTCATCGATGTTAGATGAAAAAGAAATCGTTCCACTTTGAGCATATCTTGATGTGGGTAGTCCTGTTTACTTATGACTACCTAGGGAATGGTTTACTGTCCTGACGTCATCTAGTTAATACACAGACGACATTGTGGAATTACGTTGATGCCCTAAGAAGATTCTGGACCATTTGATGCACTTAACACATGTCATGCATTTGTCACCCGTCAAATGCAAAATTATGCTTCAGGAATGGTTTGCATAGACTCCCTGTTCGAGGGTAGGGAGTGAAGTGGTGGAATGCGTTGACCAATTCGCTTTCTTATGGGGTAAGTTGACGAGACAGCAGCGAAAGGCGCACTAAGTGTTTGGCAACCTTCGTCATATATCTGACTGGTGAAATGTCCAACTGGCAATTTACCTATAAATTAAAAAGTTATGAGGGGGAGCTAGTGATCCTGGATTGCAGGATAAAACTAAAAGAAGGTAGAAGTCTAGTCTATAGGAGACCTCCTTATTCATCCCGCTACATAGACTTGAAAGCAGCTGAAGTGGGTTTGGCATATGTGTGAGTAACAAGGCGAAAATGCTTACCAGCAGAACAGAGGATCCGATACGTAAGATACCTTGCGTCTTGGACAACTACTCACCCAAATTTATGAATAAATTCGTAAGAAATTGCAAGGAAAATATAAGCAGCAATGACAACACAAGTGTTTATAAAAATAATATTGACGGTGACACTGTGAAGGGAGAAATCAAAACCCTTACCGGACTACCTTGCCAGGAAGACACATCAAGGTCTTAGCAAGTCTTCTCAATAGGCTGTCAAGTGTGGCATCTTGAACCGATGCACCGGTGTGCGAGGTTCTATGCTAATTTTGTCAGTCAGTCAGTCGGTCAGTCTGTCTGTCTGTCTGTCAAATTCAGCGGATTCAGAAGCATGAAAGGTTATTTGTTTGCCCATATTCTAAGGTAAATGCTATTCTAGTATGAGAGTGTGTGTCATAAATGGAAGCAGAGGCATATAATCCATTTTAAAGACAGTTGTGATTCCGTGTTATAAGCAATTCATTCAACCTTGTGACTCTTTTATGCCACATTAAGGCAGCCTTAGCCATAACAGAATAGATGGAATTCACTTAATTGTTTGCCTCTTTTCTTACTGGAGATTGATGTAAAAGTCAACTAGATGCGGTGGAATAGGATGTTGTGTGTAAGGATTTCATTGAATGTCTTAAAAATACAACGCATGAAAGAATGTGAATGTTATCAGTTTCATTAGTGGCCAGATTACTTATCATTTAAAATCCAGTGCATTTGATTGCTTTTTCATCTTATCAACGATGTTGAACACATAGTGAATATTGTGTTTGTTGTGCTGAAAATATCAAGTGTTTTCTTCTTAAGGTGAAAGTGTTCCAGTTACGAAAGTCCCATTACCTGATTCACCGTCGAAGGATGACTTATTTGATATTAAACTGCATACTCGTCATATATTGTTTGCTGGCACAACTGTTATTCAAACAAGAAATTATGCAGATGAACGAGTGATGGCTGTTGTTGCACGTACTGGCTTTAATACAATCAAAGGTGAACTTGTCCGGTCGATACTGTTTCCGAAACCGTTGAAGTTCAAATTTACTCAAGATGCTTTCCGTTTCATTATTGCCTTATCTGTTCTCGCTGTAATTGGCTTGGCTTTTTCAATCTACCTAATGGTAAGAAGATATTTGGGTGGTTTAAGTTTACTCACTATTGTTAAGAGATGTTTGGTTTGACTACAAACGATGTATGTAAGTTTTGTTTATTGTATTTAATCACTGTCTAGTTAACTTAAGCGGTAAACACATTTCAGTAAGCAGTTTCTGAGCTCACATGTACCAGCTACATTAGTCAGTCCGTTAATCAATATCAACGTAATACGTGGTATCAGTTCGTTACGATTTAGGTTGCCACACATCACTTCAGTGCATCAAGATATAAGTTAATCAGATGAAAGATGAAGAAATGTAAATGTAATGGAGGTTATAGAAAGGCATGAACGGAGAGATGTTGTCATTGTTAAATTTCTCCTTCGTATAGATGATAACAGTAGTGCTGTTTATGATTGATGGGTTGTTGTGTAGGCTTTTAAATATTAGAAAATTTGGTACTATACACATGAGAGTTCTCAGCGAATTTGTCGATAGGATGCTGTCAGTGACTGTGTAGAAGTGAAATTCGAATAAACTGTGTTCGATCCATTGAAATTGATGTATGACAAACATATTTCTTGTAATAAACCTTTGTTTTTTAAACTCTTCTCAAAGGTTTTTTTTCGGTGCTTTATGCAAGGTAATGCATGTTTTTAATTAGATGATTCGATAGGTAATAAGAAGTATGAGCTAGTTTTGTTTTTTGGTAAGGTGATTGCCCTGCATAGTGTTGGAATTTTTCTGAGTGTTCATTTAATGGTTTATTCTGTTTTTTTTCCTCTTTCATCCAACTTTTGTATGATTATCTGTTTTTTAATCTTGCTTAGATATGTAGGTTTTGCGTGATAACTGTCACGTTTACTTATCTCAAAGTAGATGTGGTTTGATATTGTGACCAATGTTATCTGTTATTTTGTCACTAGTGTTGTTGTCTATACTGAGGTGGGATTGATTGATGCCCTGAATTTTTTCATTTTTTCTTTTGTGTATGTTAATTCAAGTTGCATCATTAAATCGTTGAGCTAAGAGGATGTAGCAACACTGGGAATGTTCTAACCTTTCGTTTAAGATTGCACACACTAATTCGCACGTATATGTTGTATGTATTGAATATGTCTTCCTGTGAATCAGAGCAATTTTGGTGACTACAATAAAAATACACTGTGTATGTATGTATGCATAATTTATTTGATGGTTTTCGGGTTCTCTGATCTCTTACTTATTGTTATTCTAGACAACATCTACAAACAATGAAGTGATTCACCTTAATGAATATCAAATCTCCAAGAGACCTTCTTGTTAATTTGACTTTCAATTTATTTGTTATTAAAGTTAGATAATTTTGTAGAGGAAGTGAAAATCTTCCCTTGAAATGATCACAACTTGATTGTATTCCATAAACAAGTTGACTATAGTTTATTTCTACTTTATGAATAACACTAGGTGACAATGAATCTATTGCATTTTGATGAATACTTCTCGTTTAGTTCTTGCCTATCAATTAATGACTACTGAGAAATAACAAACTGATAGGAATGTGTAAGGTCATAGGTATATGAATAGATCGTTTACAAGTGGAATTAAGTGTTCATATGAACTCAAAGAATATTTATTATGCATGGAGGGGAGATAATTGATGTTATGTGGAATGATGAAGTGAATCAATTCACGTGTATATCCTTTTCATGCTCCGTGTATATATATGTATATATTCTGAAAGCCATTGTTTATGTGTTTTATTTAATAGTCAGCTGATATATAATTCAATTCAGCTATTTGTGTAACTTTTAATGATTGATGGATAAAATTTGTAGAAGTCAGCTTTAACCGAGACACGTGAACATTCCTTTATTGAAATAAATAGATAGTTGAAATGATAAAATTGATTAAAGGTCGGATAAACTACTCGTTTCAGTTAGTGATAATGACAGGCAGACAGAGAGACTGAATCAACGTAGAGCCTCGCATACAAGTGCATCATTTCAACTCATTACACATCACAGTAACATGCGGAAAAGAAGGGGACAGAAAAGGAGTGATATGAATGTCGACAAAAGTGTATAGAAGTAGAACCAATTTAAAAATGAAGGTTAATGAAAACATTCAAGCTTTGGAAGATATGAAAGAGTGAATACATGCATCTTCGCTATTTTGACCGATTTTCAAATATTGATTCTTATGGTTTCGGGGACCCCAGTTAGATAGTCTGTACATTTCTACATGGCTTAGACCGACAGTCAGAGACTGCATGGATTGGTTTTATGACTTGGTCTTGCCACACAAAGCCTTCTTCCAATCTAATGAAGGAAATTCAAGATCGATCACCCACTTGTTTACTTATTATGATTGTCTGAATTTTCAATGTTGGTAGTTTTTAACTACTGAACAGAAAAATTGTGATATAAAGAGGAAAAAATAAATAAAAGTTCAGTAAAATATGAAAATCTTTTCCCGAAATTTTATTAACAGTATGCATTAGTGAATCATGTTTAAGGAATGCCCACACTATACAACAAAGTGTACATTTATTCATTGACAGATTTTTCCCCTTCGACCAGTATTTGAGATTATGTCGTGTTTTTTTGTAGATTGAAACAAAAGAATCTTCTGCAACTGTGTTGACTTTCAGCTTCATGTCGTAAGATGAAATTGTTAGTCGATTTGCATTGACTTTTATTGAATCATACCGGAAGATAATGGCGTTGACATAAGCCGGCAATTCGTCTCCGCATACAGCTTATTCGTAAAGCTTCACAAGAGCATATGAATTGATATATTCACGTGGAAGTGGTCATCAATGGTGGTTTATTCTTTACCACTTAGTGACTAGTATAAATGACAGAAGATTCGTTTGTTCATAATTAATTAATATAGTAGACTAGTATTTGAGAATAAAGAAATTCCTACTTCATATATACATGTACTGTAATTTATTTACACATTGGAGAGTATTTAAGAGATGAATGATGTGAAACAATCTAAGCTGTTTGTGAAAGGCGAAAAGTTTCTATTTTCCCAAATTGACTTCGAAAACTGAGAGTTCATTGACAGTGAATCAGAATACAAGATACTTTATGAATTGGGCATAGAAATTAAGGATTGTTATCTACAAAATGACTGTGAATTATGTTCATGGGAAGCAAAAGTCTGTAGAGAACTACCAGCTAACTACCTCCACTATGATCATGTCGAGGTGATATTTACATAATGAAATTACCTCATGCTTATTTAAAGATAACTATTGATGTACAATGTGAGGATAAATGTTCGGAAAGAAAGACAGACAGACAGACAGACATAGAATCAACATAGAAATTCGCACACAAGGTCATCGGTTCAACTTGACACATGTTATAGTGATATACAAAGAACAGGTAGATATGAAAGTAGCCAGAGTTGTATGAGGGAATAAACGATTAGACGATAAATGAAAGCAGAAACACTCAAGTTTCAGAAGACGTTAAGGAGTGTATACATCTCGCCATTGTGACCGATTTTCAAACACTTCAGATATTGCCTTTTCACTTGTTTCATCTAAATTGAATGTTTCGTGATGAATGAATGATCGGTGAAGGAGGCTGTGGACACAGAGAATAGATTATATGGTGTTGTGTCTCAGTAGTTGAGAGAGGTGACTACCAACTATTGGATCACGGGTTCGAGCCCTGCTCGATCTACCGAGGTTTAGGTAACCATGTAGTATCAGTAGCTCTTACACAGTAGGTGTGGCTGATTGCCTGTTGCACGAATATGCTCAACGTAGTTGAATGAGTTTCTTATTTAGAGTAGAGTGTGCATTCATAAACTTAAGATATTAAAATATTCAATTTGTTAGCATCAGATACCGTTGTTACCTATTTTATGTGTTATTTCGAGCTCTGATTTCATCATCACTACCTATGCTAACTTGAGTGTTACACTATTATCATCATACAATCAGAATCATTTTCAGGTGGCATTCAACTCCTCTAAGGAAAAACAAATATACATATACACCTTGACATTATATCCAGCATCTACTGATCCATCATACAAACTGTTTGCCAAATTCACTGAAATACTTTTTACAGTTATTTCTTTGCATATTTGTAAAATGATATTCATTTTCAAAAAAGAAGCATATTTTCAGCTAGAAAGGTATATTTTTTGGCACCAAAGTCCATTGCACATCACCGACTTAAACGACAATAATAATAATAATGATAGTTAATACTCTTAGATGCATAAAAATGATTGATGAGCATAAAAACTAGAAGTAAGACGAATTATTACAATTGTATCATTAGTTTTGTATGCTTTTTCTTTTTTGGTGTTCAGGTAAAAGCCAATGTTGGTGTCGGTGATATGGTCGTACGTGCACTGGATCTTGTCACTATAGTAGTCCCACCAGCATTACCTGTTGTAATGACTGTTGGCATTGTATTCGCTCAACGACGTCTACGATCTCAAGGGATATTTTGTGTTAATCCTAGTGTGATTAATGTTTGTGGAGTGATTAATGTTGCTTGTTTTGATAAGGTTAGTTTCGTTTTGCGTTTTTCTATGAAGAGGCTATATTATCGTCTTGAGTACGATTTAGTCATATTGAAAATTGTTATCTTTGCTGGTTGTTCTTCAGCTTTCGTAAACATAATATATTCGACTTTCTTCTTAGTGTCCAAATGCCAATCTGTAGAGGTGTGACTTACTTGATTAGACAGTCAACTTTCATTCAATGGATCATTGATTCCAGTCTCTTGAGGTTTCAGTTGCCAATCTCAACGTTCATTCTACAGCATGCTTACATGTACGCAATACTAGTATCAGTTTTGAAAGATTATTACTCTATTGTCTATTGTGGATGCAGTTCTTTCTTAGTGTATAGAATTTGTTGAAATCAAGTGTTTCTTTTGAGGTCACTGTATCACATACTAACTGCATAGTAATCTAGATTTTTTGAAATATGTTTACAATATGCAATATTTTCATCAATTTTAGCTGTTCAACAGTCTTTTTATTTACGTAGAGTAAATCGTGATGGTACACGTGTCCACAGTAGAATTAATTTGTGTTTTCAACCTTCTTGAAGGTCACCTTATCATCTGTTAGATATAAAATACGAATACGTACAATAAGAACTGCTGCTAACCTTGATTTACTTTAATGTATGATCGTAGCCCAGTAACTACTACGTTGTGTTATCTTTACATTCAACTCAGTTTCAAACCTTAAACCAAAATATTTTGTGTAGATTTTGCATGGGTTAACATAACATAAAAAAAATGTTTGGAGAAAAGTATAATTATCAATTACTGTGAATGCCTAATGCACTTCAGGGGAAATATCCAAACTTTCACTTCATCTTCATTTCAGGCAGTGTTGATCAACATATAAAACCTGATATTATTTTGTAGATATCCAAATTGCCACGTCAGTCTATATCTGTTTGGTGACTAGCAGTGGAATCCAGTGCACGTGTTCCGTCTTATTTGAGACTCATCAAGTAGATACACTTGCACTTCAGTGAGTGATGTTGTTCCAGTCGAGACTGGAACCCAGCGCCGATCACATCAAATACCGAAGGGAAGGCACGAAAGCCACCTCTTCTGCACGGGGTAGGATTTGTTGTTGTTTGATACCTGTTATCACTGGTTGCCATAACAGCCCATCAAGATACACGTGGATAAAAGGCTCGACAAAGAAATGGGACGGAAATAGTCATAAGTTACGAAAAGACATCAGTACCTACATGCTCTAGTGTTATTAGTTGAAATTGTTTGGGGTCTGTACACAAAGTATGCGCCGATTCGTTTGTCTTTGGGAACACACACACATACACAACCACATATTGTCCTGGTTGCTAACACGAGCTTTTACAAGTACTGTAGCTTTTATTCACCATTACAATGGTGATTGTGGGTGGGTGGGTATACGCCTCCATAAATGGTATTAACAGTGGGGAATTGTCTTGTGATTATATTTTTATGGATTGAAGTTACTTCTCTGATTTTTTGATGGATTGTGTGTGTGTGTGAGAGAGAGAGACATATACTTTTCTTTACAGATTTCTAGTTGCATTTCCATCATTTTCTGTATATACTAATTTGTGTTGATGACAAACTGTACTTGTTTTGTTTCATTGTCTCCCTCTCTTGAAGTACCTGTTCCTCACTGTACATCATAGTGTACAAAGGATAACGCACTTCTTTCTCTGACCTGAATAATTTGTATTTCTTTCATTTCGCTTGTTGAGGCTTGATTCATCATGTAGTGCCTTCAGTCGTTACATAGTCTCGTCGATCAATGTTCCGTTTTTTATTAGATGTGTTAAATTGATAACCATTTTGGTAGGTTCTTGGTGAATCGTTCACTGGGTTTCGCCTTTTTTGTGATGTTTATTTCCAATTAGTATTTGTAGTATGTGGTTGTAAGTTCGTTGCAGGTATCAGGATAAAAACAGTCGGCAGGTTAAGTGATGGATTCTGTTGATAACAATTTTATGTGGGGGAGGGTGTGTGTATGGTTACGGTTGACTGACAGGATTAATCGTCATATCCATTAGTAGCAATCAATCTTGTCTTCCTCTAAATAGAATAACTACTTCAATGTTTTCATGCCCACCCTAGGATAGTGATAATTGGTAAGAAGAGTTGAGTAAGTAGCTTTACTGTAGCTTTATGCATTCCATTAGTTGATGATCAGTGAGGTTTTGGACTTTGAATGTTGCATGATGGCATAGTTGTTTTGTGATTATTTTGCAATTTCACTTTAATGTATATTGTATATTGTTGATTGAGTGTAAATTTTCATTGGGGATTTGTTGAATTGATTTGTTTGTAGACTGGTACTTTAACAGAAGACGGTTTGGATATGTGGGGTATCATTCCGTATGAAGATGGTTTATTCGGTGATCCAGAATTAGAGCCAGCAAAGTTAGATAATGGTCCACTAATGGAGTGTTTAGCGACTTGTCATTCACTGACATTAATTGAAGGAGTTCTCTCCGGTGATCCTCTTGACTTAAAAATGTTTCAGTCAACTAAATGGGTAAGAATAATGAACCATGCAAACTATTTGTCTCATAATCATTTAATTGTTTCACTTGTTTGTTGACTTGGTATGAAATGTCACTTTTAACAATATACAGATATGAGTTACAGAAAATGTTGGACGTGATGGATGTTCATGTAGCTGGACCGTTTTTTTTTGTTGCTAAAATCGTTTGTCATTAGTTTGATATTGAGTTTCTTTTTAATTGGAAGGTTTTTAGAAATTTATTTATTGGTTGATCTCAGGTTGGTGTTCATCATGGACTGATATCAGTTGAAATCACTAGAAACTTGAGAGCATAGGAAAGGCGTTTCATCGTAGTATGGGATTTCTTAGTCATGTGCACACGTAGCCTGACTAAGGATAAAATCCGGGACCTTCAGGTTCCACGGCAAACATGTTACCATCGAGTCACTCGACCAGATTCCAGTGGTCTATATTTTTCCTACTTGTGTCAGTTCAAGAAATAGCGCGACCTCCATCTACTACCGTTGTTGAGTAACTGTCCTCACATCTGACTTGGTTGCCCCCCACCCGGTCACTACTTATAAGAGTTTCGGGAATCTCATCTCGAAGCAAGTCACTAACGAGCACTAGACAGTAATTCAATTTGGAGGTTTGTGGGGATTTATTTATTTATTGGTCTCAAATTGACACTCATCACAGAGTTTAATTTAAACTGTGATTTACAGGAAGTCACGTTTTGTGTTACAATGAATTGTATGCACTCTGTGATGGTGAATAATAAAATGATTATCAATAAATGAAGTAATTAATTGAAAATCATCGGAAAGAGGAAACGATAACTACCGGACACTGAAGATGCTGTATAGTGATTGCACTATTCACTTGGATATAGTATCTTGTCTATCTACCCGTTGTTCCGATCTGTTTTGATTGTCTTCGCTATTTACTTTTCTTATTGATTTATGTAAGAAAACAACACGGATACCAAGAAATACGCAAAGAAGTGGTATGTGTAATTCATCTAGCAGACACAAGTTTGAATGAAGGTTGTTCTGAGCAAAGTAGGCTGAGCGAGTCATTTGTATGCTCTTTCTTACCGTGTATCCTGAAGTGTTTGAGTTATGAGTGATAGTCGGCAGTTGCCTGCGTTGACGTTCAGCGCTATCAGGAACTCGATTACGTTGCAAGTGTTCAAGGTGGCTAGACCAATTTTTAACACCAGTCTAAAGTTTTTCGCTGTGGAATTTCTCTCATGCTCAGTGTGTATGCTCAATCTAAGATTACAGATATGCGTGCATGCATCAATGATGTAAAGTCAAGGTGATGTCATTGTCTGGAGAGTGAATAATATTATATCGCACATACAAGCTATTGCTGCACCTCGCGTTTATGCATTCGCAATAGTTCTTGCCCCTTGGCATTCAGATAAATGAAAGTCTTCATTTGAAATGCAAGATTAGAACACTTCGATATTGCCTATTTTGAATCGTCTTCCTGATTATAATAGATAAACAGACAGACCAACATAGAACCTGGAAGGAAATCGTGTCACTTCAAGTTGCAGTTGAATGTTAGGAAGTGGTGGATAGAAAACGGGTGGCATGAAAGTAGTCAGAAGTGTATATGACGTGAGGGTTGATAAAATATTCAATATTCATATGGATGATAAGGAACGCACAGAATGTATTATTTATAATGAGACTTCTGCGATATCGACATCCTTTGTCAATGGATAAGACTGTGCACTATCAAGAAGCCACATATTATTGTTTATTCCTTAATTTCACCACATCCTTCCTCCAATTTCAATGAAATTCTTTTCATTCCTTTGCATGTCAAATACTCATTCAATCACAAAGCCATACGGTTAGTGTGATTACTTGCCATTTATGACTGATGTACCAATGTTTCAAAAATGCGAACTGCTACTCAATATCGGTTTATGTATAGGACGATACCATTCTTAGTTGTGCTGCGTTCTCCAAGCTGGGTAGTTTGATCATGAAGGTTTCATTATCTTCCTCGACACCATCATCAACACTAACTTCAATGTGAAGTGATCTGTTTGTGTATGTGTATGTGTGTGTGTGTTGCAGTAGCTTGCCCTGATGAAGTAGCTTGTGATTGGGTGTCATGTCATTGACGGCATAGATTTTCTTGTTTGCTGTTTCCCTACTCGACCTCTCACAATATTCAATCCGTTCTGCATGGAATGACTGAAAAGCAAGTATGTCGAGATGTTTTGAGTAGTGATCGCTTTTATTAGTACTCCGCTTTCACTTCTCTATGGAACCAAGTCAACAGAATATGGAGAATAGAGAATGCTGAATTCAGAGTTTTTGAGTAACTACCCTTTCTTTTTTACCTGGATGATTTTTATTTTCTTAGGAATTCATTGAAGAGGCTTCTGATTATTGTAAATTTGAAATGGCTGTTCCCGCTATCGTGCGTCCACCGAATGCCTACAGTTTAAAAGATGAAGTTTCTCAGAAAATTGAAAATGATGTGAGTTAAATACATTGTGCACTGCTCTCATTATGGATGTATTTATTTACTGACACGTAGATGATATTGTTAACATTATCGGTAGTTAGCATGATTGAACTTTGTGTTGGACTAGTGTTGTTGATCCAAGTAATGTGGGAATGTTGTACAACATCTTAGGCTTCCCCCCTTCTGCCTTCAATTTGATGCTCTATCCTGTCCTATAAAATACAATGTATTCTGTGTTGAATTTCTGAGGAATGGTATCCTACTTGGGTATAGTTTCGTCGACTTATGGTAGGAGAGTATAGCATTTTCTGTTAAATAATTTTTTAGAAATCCCGTCTGTAACACACGTTGAATGTGAGTTTGAAAATGTTGACATTTCACTGTGCTTATCGATATTAGTGTCCGAATGATGTTAGTTCCGAGACTGGCGTTCACTAAAGTGTAAAAATGATAATTGGATAGACAGCAGTTCAATTGTTGAGTTGAATTATTCAGAAGATGGAATGGGATTATATTAAGTCGCTGGTGCGTTCATTGTATTGCTACCGCACTGTAAAAAGGTATGCTGAAATTACTAAGGTTGGTCATCGGATTTTGTTTGAATGAAACAGTCAAGATATTTTGCGTGTTAGCATAGTTATTGTAAATGGGGTAGCTTGAAAGTCACTATTTCGAACAGGTAGCGAGTTCTTTCCATGAATAATCATTCCCCATTATATTTCTGTAATACTATTGTACACCGTTTTATCGTGCACATATTCAGAATTTCCCGAAGATTCCATGTCCACCTGTTAAAGTGAGTTGAACATCTTTGATTTTCATGTTCTTAGTGAATCTCTTACTCCAATTTCCGGTGTCATGCTGGACCAAGCAAAGCCACCTTTTAATCTATGGATCTGTCTTCACTAAACATTGTTATGGCTTCTTCTTGTAGCATCTTCTGGTTTCGAATGTTTCACGTTCATTGAAAATGGTAGTTTAATTCTCTCTATATTTATCATATGTAGGATCGTACATAAAGTCTTCAGATGTTTCTTTTAGTATGTGCACTACAGTTTACATTCAGCGGACAAGATAATTCATATACATATGACAAGTGGCACTGGATAGTTGAAAGTCACTACATGGAGATAGGTGTGACAAACTGGATTTTCCAGTTTTCAGAAGTGTGAAATTCTCTAGGGGTCCTCACTTTTATTGTCTGACATTGTAGTCTATGTGATTTTTATGCTTCTCAGTCAGTTAGTCAGCCAATATCAACAATAGAATTGGCTTCAATACACACCGAGCCAAGTTGGTGCACGTCAAGATGAAAGGCATATTAAAGAGAACAAGAAGGAGTGAAACACTTCTGAAATTCTGCATAACAATTAATCTGACGATGATGTGTGAATACATCTGTGCAACTGGAATCAGTTCTGAGCCATATCACCTTGAGTGGCCAATCACGGATTTCAGTTGTCACGAGGAGTCTACATTTCTCCACACTCCTCAGACTGACAATCGAAGATCTACTTTAGTTTATATTGTGGTAAGAGGTATGCGGCGAATAGGTCTGCGTAATACATGTCTCAACCATGTCAATCGATGAAGAATTACAGGGTGATCAACTGGCTTTCTTTCTCCACCTAGGATTGTGCTGCTGACTTATGCGTTACTGTTTTCTGGCTTCCATGACTGACCAGTGCCACGAAGATAAGGATAGTCAAACAGCTAAAGTGTTTTGTGTTCTGCACTAAATGACCATGTTTCACAGCTATGTAGTATAACGAGGCTAACTGCACTCGACCCCTAATGGACAAGTGAATATCACGATGGCACCATGAATAACGTGAATTGGCGAAGGGCAAACGAGTCTTTGGTATGTATAGGGAGATTTCACCAGTTACTCACACACCGTGGCTGGTATGTCTTTCCAAGTAAGTAAAGTGGTCAGTGAGCTGGATCAGTTCACTGACTATTACTTGGATGATACCCGAACGCGAAATAGTTCTGGAGCAACAGTTTGTATTTTGGTTGTCGAGAAACGCATCGCGAACATTCTCAAGTTGTCAGTCAAAGTGTTGAGAAGACACTGCATCCTGTTATGATCTACACCTAGCAGGGCTATGTAATCTGGGTGTTGTAGATCGACCAAGGAGTCTCCTACGATTAGATTAATCCCTGTGAAGTCAGACGACGAGAGAGAGACCCATAGTGTGTCTATGATGAAGTTGAAGTAAAGGAGTGAGTGGACATCCTTGACAGACACCATTCGATAAGCACAACTCACCATAGATTCTGACACACCCACGGGTGTTTGAATACAGAGAGTGATACAGACAGAGTGATGTACTTACTCGATACTTTTTTCAGCGAGAGACATTGCTATAGGAGGTTTTGGTTGACTGAGTCGAATGCTGCCTTTAGGTCGATAAATATAGCCAGTGTTGGGGTTGGGAAGTATGCCTGTGTTTGAGAACCTGGTGGAGGGTTGATATACAGTCACGATCAGGTCTGGAGCCTTCCTGGTTTCCTAGCGTTTACTGTTTCAGCACTGCGCTCAGGCATCGAATGATTATGAAATCTAGAATGCTGGAGAATATATTCGTTAGGCTGGTCTTTCTATGGTTGTCACAAGGGACTTCTCACCATTCCTGAAGACTTGGACAATGAGTGATTGAAGCAAGTCAGAAGGGATCATATCTGACTTCCCTTGCTTTGGTTAACACTTCAGTTAGTTTGACCAATAATTCTCTACGGCCGTCCTTAAATACCCCTGTGTTAGTGTCCTCTTCAGGATTTGACTGGATAGCGGGAAATGGGATATTAGCTGAAGACCAGTTGAACTGTTCCTTGAAGTTTTCCACCTGTCATTTCAGTCATCTCGTTGGGGAGTGAATCGCAAACCTAACCTTCTTTGCTGTAGCCTCACTTGCACACTATGACAGACTCAGATATCGTCATCGTAGCAGCTGATATAACCGGGTGGCGTTCTAAGATATGGTACTTCGCATTAGTGGATGGAAAATGCAGTCAATAAATTCAGAAATTGTAGAGTTATACAATAGCGAAGAAATAAAGTAAGTAGAAGTGTATGCTACTACAGTCCGGTGAAGAAAAAGGATATGAATGCATATGCGCTACCATGTTCAGGCTCGAATAATTTTACCTAAAGTCTCTTCCCACTGGTTTCAGTTTTATTGCAAGCCTAAGACTTCTAATGTTTCCAGTGGAGAGTTGTCAACTGTCTGTGCTCCTCTGTCAGTAATTATTTTGTGAGACACTAGCGGGGAGTCTGTTGACCCGACAGCTCGTGTCCTGGACTTACTACCCTTAGTACTTTTTAAATCGATTGGAATTCAAGCAACAGTGTTCTTGGGCGTCGACTAAGGTTCACAACTACATTAAGCAACTGGCTGCACGCATCTCATATTCTGTGCATAATGCATATGTTACTCACATTTTGATTTCACAGCATAGAGTTGGTTGTAAGAAGGTAGTGGCTATGAAATATCTTGAGTTTGACCAAATCCTTTACCTTTCATCATCATGTTTTAGAAGCACATAATCACTATTGTTCAAATATATTTGACTCTTAGGAGGCAGTGGAATATCTTACCACGGCGAATAGTGTTGGCCAAAATACTTTTGGAATAGACAGTACCTTGTGTTTGTTGTTATATGGCACAGTAGTGTTAAAATCTAAAGTTTTCATCTTTGATGTCGTTGAAAATGTAAACTTTTTAGTGTTGAATGTAGATGCTAACCTAAATAAGTTGGTTATCATCTGAGTTACTTGTTAGATGTGAGTGCCGTTACATAATCCTTGTGGACTTCTACAACGATGGATTTATTTTCCATGTATTACTGTTGATATCACCTGACTTTGTAATATTTTTTATCTTCATGAAACGTTTCATAGCTCCTGCATTCTACACTTCGTCTATTGGTAACTACACCTAAGAGTTTGTAATCATATTCGCGGTGTATCACAAGTGATAGACTTGAATTAAAACTGAAAATAATTGGATATTTTTCACGTGGATTATTCATGCATGTAAAGAGAAGAGAAAACACTTGTTGTTTTGTGAAGCATACTTTGTTGCTATGGTGACTTTGAGTTGAGTATTACAAGTTTCACGTTGTCTTACGTATAATCTTTTATTACCTAATCGACTTCACTTTTCGTTTTATTGTTTGAATCGGTTTTTCATGGGGGAAAAAACAAATAAAATCGTCAACTTGTCCAGGATATTCCTTATGAAGTTGGTATTTTACGCCAGTTCCCATTCAGTTCATCATTACAACGTATGTCAGTAATTACGCGTGCACTCAATCAAAACCACTTCAGCATATACACTAAAGGTGCACCGGAGACAATTGAACTACTTTGCAGATGTGATACTAGTAAGTGACTGGTTTACTTATTACTTACTTATATCCTATTCTATACATTGGAGAATTTTTCTTTGGAAACTTAAGGTAGAATTTGAACAACAACGAAAACAAGAAGAAGAAGAAGAAGCAGTTAGCGAAATGAAATCACTTCGTTCTAGATTTACGACAACAAGTCTAAAGTTACAATGATTGAATCAAGTTGACTAATTACTATTGAAATCTGAGGTAGTTGTGTATGTTGTCGTGGGAAGCGAAGTTCACAAAATGGACTGAAAACACTAACTCTTATAAGTTGACAAAATGAAATCAAGAAGTATTGGAACAAAATGAATGAGAGCGTGTAAAGATAGAGGCTACCTTGACTTGGTGGTTGGGCTTGTATATCACAATGATCCAACGAGGTACAGTGGCTGTAACGCTTGTTTCTTCGAGGTCCTACCATGCGAGAAAGGTCTGTTGGGTAGTGGTAAGAGGAAAAGCAGTTATCGTTGTAGTGTTAGTTACTACACTATGACGGGGATTTGAGGAGGAAGTGGTACTGCTGCTAGCTGGATGGGATATGAAGGTAGTAAAGTGCTTCCCTTGAATGACCAGCAGTGCCACGCTGATAATGGATTCCCAACTAAGAGAGAGAGAGAGTTCGAAAGGTTCAGCCCTGAAAATAACACCTCCTTCCTCCACTGTCTTCCAGTGGTGGTGGTGGTGGTATGGGTCCTCTGTATTCGGTGTTAGAGAAACCGAACCTCAGAACAACACTCCACGAAAGTCCACGTATGACAGGTCTCAAGCAGATGTTTGATGGGCTCTTCGGTCACGTAAATCTCTTTCTCATTCAGCCAGGTACCGTAAAAGGAAATAGCCTTCCACTGTGTGGGCAGCCGGGATATGTCTGTCAACCGCCTGCACACTTCCACTAGTATACAAGACCCAGTTAAACAAAACCTACCGTCCTCAACTGTCTCTTTCTTTGCCTTCACCTTCTGATACTAATATTAAACCTCTTGCGCCTCCCTCAACTTCACACTCTGCAACTATTGCCAGCGATCAAAGCCATCGAAACCTCACTCCTAGTTTCCTAATACATGGCCTGCCATCGATTCTTGTTGGAGGTTTTAACGTCCGCATTCTATGCTAGATCGGACACCAAGCATCTCTTACCAGAACTCGAGATTCTTTAGCTATGGGTGTATTTTGTGCTTCTCAGACACTTATACAGGACTCGACCGTGATTATTAAATTAACCTCACCTAGTCTTTAAAATTCACCTGAAGAGAATCCAGAGACTCAGTGGCTAGCTATCGTTGACTCTCTGGTGCAGACATAACAGTGATTTGTAAAGCGGAAGGTGCGCTTCTCAACTAGATAGCAGTCAACAGCCGCCTATGTATTGTTCGGCTTAGTGGGTCTGTAAAAACCATATAGGATGGTGCGACTTGGTGATGCCTAATTGTTATCTCAACCTACCCACTCACTGACTGCTGTTCGGGTGATGCGATGGATGGATTTTATGAGAAGCTGTGAACCTTGCTACAGAAAGCAAAACGTCAACATATAGTCATAATGGCAGGTGATTTTAGCGCTCATGTATGAAAGTTGAGCCAAACGGAAAGGCATCTTATGAGTATTTACGGAATTCCATACCAACTAACCGTCAACGGTGATCGTATGTTGCAACCTTGTTCTGACAAACACCTGTTTCTGACCAGCACTAACTTTAAGCATAACGGTAGACACTGTATCGCTTGGGGTGGTCGACTGATGTCCTAAATCATGCGTTATTACGAGTTTATGTGTGTTTGTGCCTTACTGGTCACAGGAAACAGGCGGTGATAAAACCATTCTATTCTCGATTGGAGGACGAGGAGGTGAAGAACATATTTTTGGAGGAGTTCGCTAAGCATTTATGGGAAGATGATAGCGATGCTTATGCTAAGGAAACCTGGGATGATATTCAGTCTGCTGTAGAAACAGAGTTAAAGACAATTGTTAACGTACAGCTGAACATTAGCAAACGTGGTTGGATTTTCGCGACGTCATCGGAACTGATTAGTGCAATTGGATTGATAGCTGGTTCTGACCACATTGGTGAGGGCAATCAACTTGGACGTAAGTTGACAAGGAGTCTTGGTGTTGGCAGTAGTTAGCGGTGGGTGATGAAAGCGAGAGAGATGGAGCAGACATCAGCGTTGGGTGATACTTGCCAGCTATTAAGGCTTATTAAAGATGCCAGCAAGAAGAAAGCGATGGTGAGTGAAACCATCTCTTAGGAGGATTAGGTGCTGACAGCGTCTCATGGTAGATGGCTGGTTTGTTGGGCTGAACACTTTGAAGCATATTTCGACTGGTCTTCAGCAACGCTCTAGTTGCCTAGGATATAGCCAGCCTGCACCTGAATGTGATGCAGAAGTCAGTGCTCCAACTGTCCTGGGATTTGAGAAGGCTGTTTCAAACATGAAAGAATGCAAAGCAACAGAACCTGTTAGTTTGTCACCTGAAGATTTTAAGGATGGAGGTTGGCAATGCTGGAGGTAATGGAGGGAAGTACTAATTAGTGTATCTTGACGTGCAGTACTAGAGGAAGCTGGATTAGGTTAGGTAGACGGTTTGAATTGACCAGACTAAAATGTGTCAACAATGCATAAGGTCTCTGACTGTTTGTCTGAACTGTGTAGGTAGAGATTAACTAAGGTCCTTGAGATGACAGGAATCAATGGTTGAGCATTCTTGGTGATATGGTTAAAAACCGATCACAATGATACAGATGTATTCGCTCTCCAATATCTTCAAAAGCTTGATTATTTTGACTTTCATTTTCAGTTTCCTGTCTACTATAATATCAGTCTCTTCTATCTACTTGTTATTTGCATGCTACTGTGAAGTGTGACAACTTAAACCGACACAGTTTTATGCGACATTCTGTGCTGATTTCATCTGTCTGTCTGTGTGTCAATAAAGAAGATGGAATATGAGGAAGACAATAATACAGAGGTCTAACTTAGAATTTTCCACAACTGTGTATGAGTCAGGTTAATTAGTGTCAACATTGTACCTCCCTACTGCGTAATGGTCTTTCAACTATTCTGAGACGGAATTCACTTTTATAAATGTATCAGTATATTTCTTTATATTTCATCAAGATTGTCGTTGATGTGGTAGTTCCTTTGTTTTTGTCAGGGTTAGTAAGACGATGTGTAGCCTTGAGTCTGATGTCTTTCTTATCTGAGATTGTATGCCAGTATGCAGAGTGTAAATCTGTCTAGTGGAGTGACATCACTGCCGTGTCGCCTGTTTGCAAAATCCAACAACCTTGTAGTAGTATCTCACTGGTCAAAAATGTATCAGGAGAGAGATGTACAGATTTTGGACGACATTTTCATTGTTTCCAATAAAAGGATTTCATTTATGATCACAAAATTCATTATTGTAGAACATTATCGTTTTAACTTTATCACTAGTACTTGTATTCTGCCTCTATATGGTGATTGCTTTTGTCTGAGTAATTACACCTATTGAAGTTGGGGGTTTGTGGTAATTTAGAGATTTTTCAAGTTGGCATTCATCATGGACTGACATTAGTTGGAGGAACATTGGAAACGTGGGAGCACTGGACAGCTGTTCCGTCCTAGTATGGGACTCTTCAGCAGTGGGGGTACCTATGACTCCACCAGGGATTGGACCCGCAACCTTCAACTTGAGTGACCAGCACGTTACCACCATTGAGCCACTGGGTCGGAATCTAATGGTTCATAATATTTCCAACTTCTGTCAGTTTACGACATAGGACGACCATCACCCGATGTCATCGTTGAGTATTTGTCCTCACGACCACCAGGTTTACCCCACTGGTCACGACTGGAATGTTCTCCCAATTGATGTCAGTCCATGATGAATACCAACTTAAAAAGTTACACCTATAGTTTCTTTTTCGAAGAAATATTCATTGCTGTTAGTGGAAGTGTAGTCAAGATTGTTGTATAGTTTAGTCTATAAAAGTGTACACTATCTTTTCAGTGACATCACTGTTGTCCGACTAGAATGCAACTTATGTCCACGAACCGCGAACCTTATCGAAACAGGCATCCAGTGTGCAGATTACTCTGAGGTTAAATCATTGTGGACAATATAGGTCTTGCCTAGTCAGGTGTGTGGAACTGTGGTTCATTGATTTAGGGAGATGACTTTTAACCAATGAGATATGGTTTCGAACCCCACTGCACGTGCAAGGTTTAGGCGCAGTCAAGTAGTAAACATCTTTAGCCCTTACATAATAGGTATGTTTCACTGTCTACTGCAAGAATGTATACAAGGTTGTCAAGTGGATTTTGATTCTCGATTCGAATATTCATCTGTCGACCAGCAATGGTGTAACTTCGTATGCCGAGTGAGTTAGACAGTTATCGACATTCACATGGAAATAGCCTTTGTATGCTACATAGATTGAAGAAATGTAAATTTCTGTTGGATATAACTCGTATTACATATACACTGATTGGGAATGTATTGAAATGTGTTCATTTGTATTATTGACTGACACCTTGAATTGTTAACATTCATATAACCGGTTGTCGTCTTGGATCGTGTTGAATTATTTTCTACTTAGTGTGTCATTATAACCAACCATCATTCAAGTTCAATTTATATTTGAGATTATTGTTCACTGTTTATAACTAATCTTAAGGTGTGATATTATTATTATTATTATTATATCTCACCAGTATTATTATTATTATTAATCACGTATGAACAATTTCGGTCAAAGTTCATATTCATATTCTGTATATGTATGTATAATTGAATGTGTAGTTAATGTTGACAAGTTTATTGATCTCGTTAGTGCGAAACAGTATGACAAGTTTTTAATTTCCGATATCCTTGAGTGTTACATTTGACCAGTTGTTGATAATTTTTTTCTACCAATGACTGTGCAATCTGTGATCGTGTTAGCTAGAGTAGTGCTCTGCGGTGAGTGACTGTTAGTTAACTAATCAACTTTCTTAATACATTTGTTG